CAAAATATTAAAAAATTGGTACAGCCTCTATTAGTCTATTCTATAAACGCATCAAGAACGTAAATCAATTTTGGGGTCAAAACGAGTGATGTGATTAACCAATTAAACCAACTTTCATTATCTGAATTAGAATTAGAAAAACTGATGCCTTTAAGCTAAGCTGTTCCCCCGAGCCTAATGCCAAATTTAACAAAGTACGTAACTCCTGGCCGAAGATTATGTTTTTCCGAAGGTGCCACTGCAGGACCAGGTGTATATGAACGTGGTGAATATCTTTACGCGAGTGTTGTTGGTGTTGTTCAAGAATTAGCACCAACAACTGAAGGAGAGGTATTTGTTTCATAACTATTTACTTGTAAATTCGTAATTAATAAATTTACTTTATATAAACCAAATCAGCCACGAATTGTAACTGTAACAAGAGAGAAAGTTCATTCAGCAGTTCCGGATGTTGGTAGTATTGTAAGTTTCTTTAAATCAATCTATAAATTTTTACTTTAATAAAAAAATAAAAATAAAAAAAATTAAATGTATTAAATTTCAGATAACCGGTAAAGTCATTCGCATGACAACTAAAGAAGCAGTTGTTTCTATAATGGTTGTCGGTACCATGCCATGCAAAGATGATTTTCAGGGTATTATCCGGTAATGTAATTAAAATTGTATTTGTGAAAATTTCTTGAATCTCATATATTTTTAAGTTCGCAGGATGTTCGCGCTACGGAAAAGGACAAAGTCAAAATTTACAATTGTTTTAGGCTTGGAGATATAATTAGGGCTGAAGTCGTATCCTATTGATTTAATATTTTTAGTTGATAGGTTTTGATTGCTTTCCTTGATTCGATGTTCCAATGATCAAAGATATCTTTAGGTGATGCACGATCCTATTATTTGTCCACTGCAAAAAATGAACTTGGCGTTATTTATGCGCAGAGTGTTGCAGGTTTGATTTTTCTAACTTCTTTATTTTTTTCAATTTAAATACGAATCTTGAACATTTAACGTCACGTTGTCGCGTTTCAGGTGCCGTCATGATTCCTATATCTTGGCAGGAAATGCAATGTACCAAAACCAAAGCGATTGAGCATCGAAAATGCGCGAAGCCTGACATTCCCTTACCTGAAAATTAAGAAATGGGAGGTCCACTAGCAAAAGATGACTTTGGGCAAATGAATCAAGTTTTATGAATTATGAATTTATATAATAATTAATTGTCTAATTGTTATTTTTATAAAAAAATAATTTTTCTTTTTTTTTATTTTTAAATAAAAAGTATACAACTAAATTTAGTTAAATATAAAATTTCCAAACATTGATTGATTTAATCAAGAATAACCAAATATATTACATTATTCAGTATATTTTTTAGAATGTATGTTACCCGCATACATAATTATAATTATCAAATTAGCTATATTCGGATAATTAATTTAATTGGTTTCATTTGTAAAAAAAGGGTCACTTTTAAAAGTAATGTATGAAGGTCGCGCAAGAGAAAGATGGGCTACTTTTATGTCAATATTAATATCTTGAATGAGTGCATCTATTCAGATGATCATAATAAATTTTTAGATTTTTTTCGGATAAAAATTTCGAAATAGTATCACAGGTTGAATCAATGAATATCGGGAACATACCGGGAGAAAAGTTTCCCGATATGTACCCGTTAGTCTGCAACATATTAGAAGCATATTGGTAAGATATCGGGAGGTGGATCGATATCAGCAACAAACCATCAAAATATTGGGATATCCCAATATCTTACTTTTAGGCCCAGAGTGCTAAGAGTAAGTTATCAGGGTATCCCAATATTGTGCTGTTATGTTACCGATATCGATCTACTCCCTGATATCTTACAAATGTGCTGCTGATATTCAGCAGGTGTTTGGCGGATCTATGGTAGACTAACGGGCACATATTGGGAAAATGTCTCCCGGTATGCACCCGATATTCATTGATTCAACCTGTGTATTAATTGCAAACTTACCTATTGAATCGTAGTCGCGTTCAGGACGAATATAACCCAGTACAATAACGCGCAATTCTACTCCGTAAAAATCTTCAGGGAATACATGCATAATATGAACTTCCTGAATGCAGTAATATTCAGTGAAAAAAAAAAAAAAAAATCTAAAATTCCATGCAAACACAAAAAACATAAAGTAGATCAAGGAATTATCTTTATATACAAACCGCACTTTTTTTTTCATTTTTATAATAAGGATTCCAACCTAAACTCATCACCATTGGATAAACGGATGAATCATCGCCAACCTGTGCCCACCCATAATAAATCCCAGTTTCTACGTCTTCACATAAGGCATTTGTCGCAGCCTCTGGAAGGTTAGCTTTTTATTTAAAATTCAAAAAGAAATAAAAAGTGGTTATTTTTTAAAGTAAAATAAAATAAATATAAAAGATAATTTTTAAATACCTGTTGGAATTCCGAGTTCTTTACTACCCCGACCAAAACCTTGGATCACTTTGCCTTTCATTTTTATTGGATAAGGCGGGCTGACAATATCTGGGCCAACTAATAGAGGACGTGTTGTTTCCAATAATTCTGACATTTAAAAAAAGGATGAAAATCAACACCGAAATTATGTAAAATGATCGGTTTTGAAACAGAGCAAAGGAATTACAGCGATAGGAATGAATTTTATGTAAACCTACTAGCCACCTTCGCCACGTATTTGACAAAATTGACATTAAAACGCGTTGTTTTATGCATCCGGAAAAATGCGCCATAATAGGAATATTAGATTCTCCGAAGATCGATTTTCACATGCTATACTGTATAAGATCGTTATCTTGTCAAAATCTCGTTGTGATACGTATGTACAATATCTATGATTTAATGTTTTTAAATGCTGTATCGGTATCGGTATATATATATAAATATAATAAATCAATACTTAACGTTAACGTTAATGATATTAACAGTTAAGCATTAAAAAGTTTATGGATAACTGTTAATTTTAAGATTCTGTTTTCTTAATACAAGTAAATCCTGTGAAAATGAGAGAAAATAGTTGTCGGGGAATTGGTTGTTGGATAAATGTCGGTAAACCATATCGAAAGTTGCTTGTACCATAAAAGAAGATAACGAAAGAAAAAAGCAAAAGAAAATGTAATTTATTAAATGTTTTAATGTAATATACAGTATTTGAATTTATTCTAATTAAACCTATTATTTTTCTTTGTTGATTGAGCTAATACAGTAAAAATTCCATAAGTGCATCCTCTATACGTGCACGTTATTGCTTGGTCCTAAGTAGAGATTGAAAATGTTTTAAATAAATGTTTTAATACATTCTGACGTATTATCAACCGCATTTATTTTTTTATTTAAAATAATTTCATTAAATGTAAATTTTCTTAAAATTATGCTTCGCCTTCAAAAGAAATTCTACGAACATTGCAGAAACCGACACTATAAATATTTTACAATAAAATTTATAAAAAAAATGAGAAAATTTTCTTTAAAGCCAACTGCCGAGAATGCTACGAAACCTGGCTGATACTAAATTAACAATAAGAAGCGGCAGTCCTAGCTTCAACTGAATTCTAATCTCATTTTAAAAAGTTTTTTAAGATGGTAAAAAATTGTTTAACCCGTTTTTTTCCATCCCTAGTCCCAAGCTTGGGACTTAGTGCTAAATGCACTCTCTATAAATGCTAATTCTCTCTAAATGCACAGCATAATTTGGTCCCAACCTATAAGAATTTTATATAGTATATAATTTGTTCTCTATAAATGCGTACACTTTTTTTTTTACTATAGTCCACAAGAATGTACACTCTAGCTACAATAGATTTTCTTAAGTGCATCCTCTCTAAGCGCATACAGTATCGGTATACAGTTCCTCAGAGCGTGCACTTATAGAGGCTTTATTGTATATATACAGTACCATATAGCCACTGTAGTTAGTGTTGGCCAACTTTATTCTACTGACCTATAAACTGACTTATAAAGGCGACCAACACTGATTGTGGCGCACCAACCTTGCACATATTTTCCGAATGCTTGTCTTATTAGCCGAAAAGGGTAATACGTATCTGCAATTTATCATCATAAAAAGTACGTACGTACGTATGTACGTACGTGATGCATAAATTCTTATCGTTATCAGAATGATATTTTCACGACAACTCTCTCGGTCGATTAGTGCAAATCTTTTTTTTGTTAATATCAATTTAAATAATGGCCGGTTTCGAAATCTAGGATACCAATTTGTATGCTTACAAAACCAAAGTACAATTAAAAGTACGACCAAAAATAATGGACTGACAGACGAACAAAAAAAACTTATTGATAGTATGATAAGAGTTGATCAAGCAGGAGAAATAGGTGCAAATTGGATCTATAAAGGTCAGATGGTTGTTCTAGGTGGAGATAAAAAAGTTGGCCCTGTGATTCAAGTGAGTCAATAAAAAAAAATTAAAGAGTATCCCCTTAAACCATCCTACTATCATCGTGACGTAAATATGCTGCAGTATAGAATATAATTAAATATTATAGATCATTCTTGACAATTTGCAACCAAATTTTCTTGTAAGACGGCTTAAGGAATAATTGTTTCAATTACATGATAACCTAAATAATTGACCACAGGAAATGTGGGATCAGGAAAAACATCATCTTCGAACGTTCGATGAAATGATCCCTCGCTATAGGGTGAGGCCTACTTTGTTGCGTCCAGTTTGGGAAGCGGCGGGTTTTATTCTCGGTGTTAGCACTGCGCTTATGGGTAAAGAGGCAGCCATGGCTTGTACTGAGGCAGTTGAAACTGTAATTGGAGAACATTATAATGAGTAAACGTCTTTACTGTAATTACGAATCTCAAACTTGAAAGTTACGCTATTACATATTGACTTTTATAATATTTTGATAGTCAATTGCGAGATTTACTACATATCGAAAATGTAGATGTTGAAGATTTGAAAAAGGTTTAAATTTTACATTATTCAATTACTAATGAAATGCGCTATTGTTTCTTACTCATTGCAATTATCTTTTGTGAAAAGATAATCAAAGAATTCCGGGATGATGAATTGCATCATCTAGATACTGCAGTGGATTACGAATCGCAAAAGGTAACAGCATTACATCCTAATTTAATTAGCTTGAAATATTTATTCTTTATTTGTTCTAATGAAATTATTTAGGCACCATTTTATAATTTATTGTCAACCATTATACATAATGGATGTAAAGCTGCTATTTGGATAACTACAAGGGTTTGATTGGCCTTTGATTAAGAGCAATTCATATAAATTTTAAGTTTGTAAATAGATTTGTCATAAAAATAGCTCTTAAATATACTGTATTGCACTGTTGAAATATTCGGCTCTATTGTATAACTTAGGTAAAAAGAGATTTCAAATTTCAAGTTTTTCATTTATGGTAAGCAGTTTAGAAACTTAAAGATTAACAGGATTTGTACGGTTTGCACTAAGTATTTTGCATCGTGTTTGATAATTATCTTATTTAAAGTTTAAAAAATACTTGTCAAAATAAAACTATACTAAAATCTTTATTAAATCTTGAATAAAAATATCTTGACAACAATCAAGACAAGCTATTCAAGTTCATGAATATTTACATGATTTTTATTTTATTTATGTTAATAAGTTATAAATATAAATTATAAAATTATTGACATTCAAATTTAAGAATCGTGAAATAACTAATATGAATATTGTATATACAGTAATTCAATTGAAATAACACGAGTGAAGTATTGTGATCCTGATATAACAATTAAAGGGTGGATAAGTGAAAACAAGAAATTGTTTCAACTTAGAACTAATTCATATTATATGGTTAAATATGTTCTATTTAATAAACTATGTAATATATTAAAAAAAATTTGGAGAAAGATTTTTTGTACTTTTTTTTTTTTTTCTGACAGTTTTGTCTTTATTTGAACTACTATTTGACAACGTAAAGTACAAAGCCTTATAGTATACTGTCCTAATCTAAAAAAGACTCACTAAGCACTATGCCCAATGTGATCTGCTATGACAACTAGTTTGTTTTTTTCAAGATTAAGAATTTTGTATTACAAGGACACTCCTTAATCACTGACAGGTTTGTCACACACCTTGTCAAGACTGCTTCCTTTCTTTTCTAATTTCTTCTTCTTCTCAAAAAATATAAGACAAAAGGAGGAATACAGTCTACACTTTTTATACTGAACTCTTAGTTCTGGCCAAAAAAAAAAGTTCATTATATAGAATTACTATGTTTTCTTAATAACCATAGCTCTTGTTATACTGAACTAATATTAAAATTTAAAAATTTTGAGTTTCTTATATCCAGAGTTTATTATAAAAAAGTTCATTATATTCAGAGTTGACTGTATAAAAAAATTTTTCAAGAAAGAAAAACAAAAATAAAAAGAAAAAAGAATACAGATTGTAAAAAAAAAATAAAAATAAAAAAGAAAAAAAAATTTTTTAAAAAAAATAAACCAATCTATTCAAATACTAAAAATGCACTATTATAACCCATGCCAGGTTTGTAAAAATTATATAACAATTGTAACAAATTGCATATTCCTAATTCAAAGTATATACTTTGATATTAATTATCTTTTTTTAACTTAGTCTTCATATTTAGATTATGTCAACAAGCTTATAAAATAAACATGTAGTTGCATATTACTAAAATTAGTTCAAATTAGAAAGGAGTAAACAATGCTAATTTTTAGGTGAAGTATGCCAAATTGTTTTTTATAAAAAAAATTGAAAAAAGAATAACAGAAGAAGAAATAGTAGCAAGATTTTAGATTTTTAAAAGAAGGTGTTAAAAGAACAAAATTTATTTGTTGTTCTTATAAAAGCCAGATATAAAAACCTTATTAGTAAAAGTAAAAGACTTTTTTTATCAAAATTTTTTATATAAAAGCATGCTTCTTGCTAGTTATCTTGTATAAGAATGTTTTTAACTTGTATGCTAAATATATAAAGGAGTCTTCAAGCCCAGAATAAAATAAAAGTTTAGTTAATCTTTATAAAAATTACTATTATATGGGGGGAGTCAATAAAAAAGAGACAATTAAAATATCTCAACAACTAATTAATCAAATTTGTTAAAAATTTTTTTATTTTAATCTTGAAATTATATAGAATTAAAATAAAAATTTTTATTAAATTTGATAAGATAATTGCCAAGATATTTAAGCCTAAAGTCAAAAAAACTTTTACTTAAAAAAAATTTGGCCCTTTTCTATTAACTCACCTCCATATATCTGCTTCTGCTACTAACTCCAACAAATTTTATTTTATTTTTTAGCAGAAAATTTGGTGTAGGTGATTATCACTCTTAATATTTTATAATAAATACTTTATATATATGAGTGATTAAAAGTAAAAACTACCAAATTTTAATGATCACAAGTTTTGAGTAATTGGCAAATCATATTTTGTTATACAAAACAAAACAAACCTAAAATTAACAATTCCAGATTATAAACCTCAACTGATTGATGATTAAATATAAACAATTAGCATGAAAAAATTCTGTGACAGGTTTTGTCGATCATGTGGCACAGCAAAAACCTTT